CATCATATAATTTTTTTTAAAATATTTCAGATATATTTATAAAAGAGTAGTTCTCAAATTTCTTGATCCTGTGACCCTAGAGAGCTTTTGTTCATGCAAGTCAGGTATATATTAATACTTATTATGTTAGAAATTAAAACTGGACCAGGTATGGTGGTACATACCTGTAATTCCAGGGACTTGGAGGCTGAGGCAGGAGGATTGCAAGTTCAAGGCCAGCTTTCACAATTTTAAAAACAAAAAGAGCTATAACAAATTTATAAAAATAAGGGATAGGGCTCATTGTAGAGTGCCTCTGGGTTAAATCCCTAGTGTGAAGCAAGTGCTGCTCTACTACTGAGCTTCAGCCCCAGCCCTGCAGTTATTTTCCAAATGTATTGAAGCATCATGATTGGTCATTTGGAAAATATTGGTTCATTGAGGTATATAGAATTTCAAATGTTGACACATTTCATTACACACATGTGTGTGTGTCAAAGAATTGCATTTGTTAATATCACCGCTGATGTCATTTAGAAAAGCCTTCACTGAGAAGTATGAAGCCTGTGGTTGTGGGTGGTTTTCCAAAATTCTGATTTTTTTTTTTTTTTTTTTTTGCTTAGGTCAAATTTTTAATCATGATTTTCAACAGATGCTCAAAATTGTTATTCTTGGAGTGAAAAGTTCACTTTGTTCATTTTCTTTCATTTCTTGTTCATTTCTTTGTCTGCCAGATATCTAAGTTTGAATTAACATTGTTTGTGTGAATGTTGATGATAACATGGTTGGTGTCAGCTGGCTTTCAGGTAGAAAAAGTATGCTCTATGAGAGAAGTGACTTGTTCAGAATTGTGCAAGTGCTTTTCTGCCAAGACAGCCATCTTCATTATATAGCAGATGTGCTTTTTGAGGACTTCCTTTTTGTTTGGAATATTAAAAAGGGTCAGGTTTGATAATCATTTCTACTATTTCATTAAGGACATTCTTGGGCTGAGAATGTAGCTCAGTTGGTAGAGTGCTTGCTTAGAATTCGTGAGGCCCTTGTTTAAATACTTAGCACTACAAAAAAAAAAAAGATTTTCTTAAGTAAAACTGACCTTTACTTAGAGTGCAAATACAACTATACAACTTCTGGTATAGTTGTATTTGCCTTGATTTGTGCTAAGGTGTCACTGGTTTTTATTCACTTTTACATCAGCAGTGCAAATGTGAACACAGTGAAATAGGCAAATAGTACTTGTTGGTAGTATTATAGAAATACTTTTGACCCTCAGGTGGTCTACCGAGCATACTTTGAGAGACTCTGCTTTAAAAGATTAGTATATTTTAAAAAGACCCTAACCACAATACCTTTTTAAAAATATTTTTTTAGTTGTAGATGGACACAATACCTTTATTTTATTTATTTATTTTTAGGTGGTGCTGAGGATTGAACCCAATGCCTCATACTTGTGAGGCAACCTCTCTGCCACTGAGTCACAATCCCAGCCCACAAAACCTTTTTAATATTATTAAATACTCAAGAGTTCAAATTTGTAATTATTACATAATTCTTTAAACTGTTTGTTGGTTTTTAATCAGGATGCAAATAAGGTCATGTTTTGCAATTGATGTTTCTTTTTTTATTTTTTAGTTGTCAGTGGATCCTTAAAATATTTATGTGGTGCCAAGACTTGAACCCAGTGTCTCACAGCTAGGCAAGTGCTACCACTGAGCCCAATTCTAGCCCTGAAATTGATGTTTCTTAAGTTCTTTAAAGAAAAAAAATAAATCTATAAGTTGACCTCCATCCTTTTCTTCTTCTAGGTTATTGAAGAAATGGGACTATTTTGGAGATTTTTTAACTAGTCTGGATTTTGCTGATTACATCTCAGGGCTGTGTTTTTTTTTTAATAAATAACTAATTTGATCAAAAAGTTTGATATTTAGGGTTTGAGGTTTTGTTTGTTTGTTTGTTTTTAATGTACTGAGGATTGAACTTAGTGTGCAGTACCACTGAGCTATACCCCTAAGTTATTTTGAGACAGGGTCTCACTAAATTGCTGAGGCTGACCTTGAACTTGTAATTTCCTGTCTCAGTGTCTCAAATTCCTGGAATTACAGGCATGTGCTACCATGCCTGGCCTCAGGCTTGAGATTTCTACAGTAATACCTCTTAGGTGGTATTATGTACTTCCAATGTCTGGTTGCCTTTCTTTTTATGATTTTAGTAGCTACTGATGATCATTGCCTTAAACCCTTGATGAAAAAGGGATTGCAAACTGATGAGATTCTAATTTTTATCATTCCTTCTTCATTAGCTGGACTACTTCTCATTTTTCTTTAACTAGTTACCTGTTATGTAGTTCTTATGGTAAAGGCAGGGTAAAGGTTGTTTAGCATTTTCCAAAGTTGAACAATGACTTTTTTTTTTTTTTAAAAGAAACTCAGGGGACTCTTGTCCCAGAGGCTGTGATTCTGCCTATCAGGAGAACCTTTTTTTGGGGGGTGGGGTACCAGGGATTGAACTCAGGGGCATTCAACCACTGAGCCACATCTCCAGCCCTATTTTGTATTTTACTTAGAGACAGGATCTCACTGAGTTGCTTAAGCTTCTTGCTAAATTGCTGAGGCTGGCTTTGAATTCCTGGTTCTCCTGCCTCAGCCTCCCGAACTACTGGGATTACAGGTGTGCACCACCACACCTGGCTCAGCAGGAACTTTTTTATTTTTGTAATACTATAATAAACCCATTGGTTTTATTTTATGTATTTTATGTTATGAAAATTGCCATCATCCACTTGTACAATGTGTTTCATTTCTGTGTTGGGGAAACCTGTTTTTCTATTACAGTTGCCAACATTGCTTTTATTTCAGGCTTTCCTTCCTGGGAGACTCATTCATTGAGAAGCTGCTTTGTTTAGATTGACTTTTTAATTCACTTTTGAATATACAGTTGAATTCTAGAAAGTTAAATGATAACATGATGAGCCTATACACTTTGTATTTTATGAGGAAAATTATATGCTATACTTGAGATCTAATGTTATCTTCCATTTGGGTACCTTTTAATGAACATCAAATGTTGTTAGGCTTCTTTCTCTCCTACCAGGCAGAGAGAATGCTAGGTGTTTTAGTTGGCTATTTTGCTGCTGTGACTAAAAGATCTGACCAGAACAATTGTAAAGGAGGAAAAGTTTATTTGAGAGCTCAGGGTTTCAGACGTCTTAGTCCATAGAAGGCTGGCTCCATTTCTTGGGGCTCAAGGTAATGCAGAACATCATGGTGGAAGAGTGTGGCAGAGGGAATTAGCCTGCTTGGTGATCAGGAGCAAAGAGAGAGAGATCTCCACTTGCCAGATACAAATATATACCCCAAAGCCATGCCCTGATTCCCACCTCCTTGAGCCACACCCTACCACTTAAGTTACCATTTAGTTAATCCCTGTTTAGGGGATTAATTCACTGATGAGTTAAGACTCTTACAATCCAGTCATTTCTCCTTTGAACCTTCTCGCACTGTCTCACACAAGAGTTTTTTGGGGACACCACATCTAAACCATAACACTAGGATGTATAAATTAAAGCTGGATTCTCTTTGTTTACTAATATCATTCTTAACCTTTGCTGTTAGTCAAGGTGGTGTTTATAATTAAAGATAAGCACAAAATAATCTGATGTTTTCCCCTCAATAGTGATGGTGGCCTGCGTTTTGGAGAAATGGAACGAGATTGTCAGATTGCCCATGGTGCAGCCCAGTTTTTAAGAGAAAGATTGTTTGAGGCATCAGATCCATATCAGGTTCATGTTTGCAATCTTTGTGGAATAATGGCAATTGCTAACACCAGGACCCATACATATGAATGCAGGGGCTGCCGCAATAAAACCCAGGTGTGTATAGACTTGATCTTTTTTTCTTTTTAAGGAAAGGAACTCAGATTGTGGGCTTTTTTAAAAAAAAAATTTAATTGTAGGTGGACACAATACCTTTATTTTTTTTTTTATTTATATGTGGTGCAGAGGATTAAACCCAGGGCCTCATATGGGCTAGGCGAGCGCTCTATGGCTGAGCTACAACCCCAGCCCCTGATCATTTTTTTAAGGATATAATCATGTAAGGCTGTTTATCCAGGCAGATTGAGTGTGGTGGGACAGGTTTTCCTTTTCACAATTTTGGTAACATACCTCTGTGAGATGCCTAGTTTTTTTTTTTTTTTAAATTTGTTCCAATTAGTTATACATGATAGCAGAATGAGAGATGCCTAGTTTTAGAAGGAAAAATATTTAGATTTTTCCAAATCAGCTGAAGTTTGATATAATCTATCCAAGTTGTTCATGTCTTTGAAATAATAAGGCCTTGCATAGGAATTTTAAACAATGAATTTTTCTTAAACCGTTCAAGGAGGTGAATACAAATTGTGCCTGGCAAAAAAGCTACAAAACAACACAGTTCAAGGCCAGCCTGGGCAACATAGCAAGAAACAAAATAGCCTGCTAGGAGGAAGGAGCACCATGAAGCAAGGTGGCAGGATAGGTGGTCACTTCAATGCTGCTCATTCACTTGCCATCTATAGTACCAAATCCTTAACCTGTTTCTCCGGTAGAGAAATGGGGTCACTTGCATACAGTCTGCTAATTACTATTTATTTTTTCTTTTCAGATTTCTTTGGTGCGAATGCCTTATGCGTGCAAGCTGTTGTTTCAGGAACTTATGTCTATGAGTATTGCACCTCGAATGATGAGTGTTTAAATCTTTTAAAGGATTCTCAACCACATTGTTGTAAATGTCCATGTCTTGCTGGGCACAGTGGTGCAGGACTGTAATCACAGCAATGTGGGAGGCTGAGGCAGGAGGATGGCAAGTTCAAGGCCAGCCTCAACAATTTAGCTAGACCGTATCTATCTACAAATAAATAAATGAATAAAAAGACTGAGGATGTAGCTCAATGTTGGAGCACCCCTGGGTTTTATCCACAGTACAAAAAACAACAACAAAAAAAACCTGTTTTACTTCTATGATATGGCTTTAAAAAATGACAGTGTATTGAGTTGCGATAGAAAGCATTTTATTTGTTTTGTTTAATGATATGCATGTTTTTCTTCTGTAAATAGACAATAAAGTTTTGTAGATAGTCTTGATGTGTTGTCTTTAATTGGTATCCTGTGTTAAAACAAGTGACTATAACTAAAGCATTAGTGAATTGGATTAGAGAAACTTGTTACTAGGCAAGAACAGGGTTGTAGTTATTTGTGACTACTTTTAGCTCTTGTTGAGTAATATTTTTTTTAGGTTTATAGTTCAGCACCTTCACCTGTTAAAAAGATAAAAAGATAAAAATTAGTTGCATGTATGGACATGGTTGACTTTCTAATTAGCATTTAGTTCAGTGTTTCCAAATAAATAAAGATGCTAAAATGCATAAATAAAGGGTTAGGCATGGTGATTTGCACTTGTTGTCCCAGTTACTTTGGAGGCTTTGGCAGGAAGATCTCTTGAATCTGGAGTTCAAGGCCAGCCTGGGCAACATAGCAAGACTCCATCTCTACCTTGGGATAAGGGATATATTGGGTAATAGTATAAATGATATGCTGAGGTCCTCCTGGGAATTTTAGCTATACAACGTTAGATGTGGAAGGCAGTTCTGCTATATTGATCCATGTAAAAAAGAGGACCTTATTATAGGCCTGGAAGAGCACATTTCACAAACACCATGTTGAGGTCCAACAAGGTTAAGGAACTTAACTTCGTGGTCCAGCTCTCATTAAAAAATAAATGCCATGTGGATAGAAAAGATTATGGGAAATACAAGCAATTCCAGTCAGGTTTGAGTTTTGACTCTACTTGAAGATAAGGTGAAAGCTTCTAAGTCATAATATTGGCCTTCATCAACCATCCAAATACTCTTTTGGAACCACGTATTCTACATTTTAATGGCATATTTAATGTCCTTGGGGATTCCTGACTTTACTGAATTTTTATTAATAGTTTTTTTTAAAAAAATATTTATTTAGTTGTAGATGAACACACAGTATATTTATTTTTATGTGCTGCCTAGGATCCAACCTAGTGCCTCAACACTTGTCAGGCAAGCACTTTACCTTGAGCTATAGTCCCAGCCCCCTAATGATATGTTTGATGCTTTGATTCTTGGTTCTGTTTATTAAGCAAATCACTAGTTATTCTTTCAAGTGGCTGTGAGATTGATTATATACCTTTTTTCACTGGTATTTCATGTAAAGCATCAACCACTGTAATTTTTGCTGATGCAGAAGCCTGTCCTTGGGAATTGGATGCATGACACTCGTATTCTCCAGCATCTTCCTTACTTAGGGGAGATACCTGTGGGGAGAAAAAGGATCTTTAGTTCTTCTGTGGTGGCTTTTTTTTTTTTTTTTTTTCCTTTTAGTAGCTTCCATTATATCATAGTTTCCTAAGATGACCAAAGAATTTTAGTAAAGATACTATCAGAAGTAGTGCAAGTCCTGTGCTGGAAGACTTATGGTCTGTTGAGAGGATTCATACTCTGAGGAAATGTCATGGGCAACTTTTGAAATATTGTTGAAGTTAAAAACTAGATAGGTGCACATACCAATGTTAGGGAAACCTTGATATTTCTAAGTAGTATCTGAATATCAAATGTAAACTAAAATATTCATTAGTCACTACTCAATTAAAATAATGCTTGGGTCATTTAGTTTCCCATAAGAATTTTGCTTTGAACTTTTAGGAAAATTTTTTTTTGAGTTCTCATTAATTCATTGGTTGTTTCTAAAACATCCAGTCAACTTCAACTCTTCTTTTATTTAGTTCCCTTTGAAATGGGACCAATGACCGACTCCTTGGTCAGGCTGTTCCAGAGATGTGGAAGAGGAAGTACTTTTCAGGCTGGCAGGACACTGGGTACATTTACCAGGGCTGTGAGTGTCTAATCCTAAGAACAAAATTCTTGCCAGCTCTTGGTACTCACCAGCACCCAGCCAGTTACTTCATGCTTTTCTGGGCCACCCCGGGTCTGAATGGCCAGGTTGTCCCGGTCACCAGGCAAGAGTTCTGTCCTTTGAACTCCATACTGACCCCTTTGTACCTGCAAAAACACAAGGAAAGTCAGCTCTCTGCATCAAAACATCAACTTGGAAATGGCTACATTTCCAAAATTGCTCTTGGTGGTCATCAGACATTCTCATTGGGTTAAACCCAGCACTTTACCTACAAGTTCCCTTTACCCAAATACTTGTAAAACAGAAGTCCTCTTAATTCCTCTATTCCCCTGTAAGCAGCATGTTTTAAACAAAAATAATGTGCTTCTCTACACGCTTGGAGAATGTACGAGGCCAGCCTTTCCTGCCACTGGCTGCTATCACTCACCCAGGCCCTTAGAAATTCTGCTCCTCAGTACTGGGCCTTTCTTGCCTAACAGGCCATGTTAGACTGACAGTCATCTAGTGCTAGTTTGATGCTTGGGGTCCTTGGGGCTCTTCCTGTAACAGCCTAATGAATGGATAAATAGTAGCTAGAGTCCAAAGCTAGTTCTATTACTTTGTTCTGAGGGCTAAGTATTCATCAAATGATTTACAGAAGACCTGAGGTCAAAAAGACCTGTCAAATACATGCCGCTATCCTTGTTCTCTTATGGCAAAACTTGCTGCCTATTTCTGTGCATGTCATGATGGGATTCAGAAGATGAGTTAAGAGGAAATTCAGTTGGTTTAATGAATATCGTCCTTACTTTCCCCTTCATCTTAAAAGTTTATTATATAAGCTTTGGAAAATATACAGAAGAAATTTACTTGTAATCCCTCCATGTGTACTCCTTAGCAACTCAGTTTTTAAGTTTTTTAAAAAAAGATACAGGAAGTAATGTTTGTTCATTCTATCCTAGGCCTCTTTTAAGAACCAAGTGAATGTTTACTGTTAGTATCTTTGTAATTAGGAAGGATTTACAACATCAGAAAGGTAGTTTCCTTTTAATTTTCTTCTATGCCAAAGCCAGTTAATTTTTTTTTTTTTAAATGGAATTTCCCCACATTGCCACCATTCGAAAAAAACCAGATAATTCAATATCTTTCTCTCATGAATGCTATAAAGACAAAACAGATAACTGGAATGTTTTGCCTTCAGTTTTCCAAATAGCTGGTAGAAATAGCAGCTTTTGAAATAGTTACTTAAAAATGGTCTTGGGGCTGGGACTGAGGCTGTAGCTCAGTGGCAGAGCACTTGCCTAGCATGTGTGAGGCACTGGGTTTGATCTTTAGCACCACATGAAAATGAAACAAAATAAAGGCATGCTGTCCATCTACAACTACAAAAAAAAAAAAAAAAAAAAGGTCTTGGAGCCGACAGTATAGCTCAGTAGTATACAGTGCTTGCTTAGCATGTGCAAGGACCAGGGTTTGGTCCCCAGCACACGCAACACAACACACACGTTAATAATGATTCTTAATATTTTGGGATAAGCATTAATTTGATTCATGGTTAAAAGTAGTATCTCTGGCTTTTATTTATGAAATCCCAGAAACATAAAAAATTGGGAGGGGATTTGCTTTTGAAAAATATATTTTAATGCTTTGGGAAAGTGAAGATAAAAAACATGGGGCTGGGGATGTGGCTCAAGCGGTAGTGCGCTCGCCTGGCATGCGTGCGGCCTGGGTTCGATCCTCAGCACCACATACAAACAAAGATGTGTCTGCCGAAAACTAAAAAAATAAATATTAAAATTAAAAAAAAAACATTCATCTTTTCTATTAACTGGTAAAAAAAAATATGGAATGCTTCATGAATTTGCATGTCATCTTTGCACAGGGGCCATACTAATCTCTGTATCCTTCCAATTTTAGTATATGTGCTGCCAAAGCAAGTACTCGTATAAAGGTTTTGTGTGTGACCAAAACAAAAACACTTCAGCACAGATATATACTGGATCTTAGCAACTGAGTGGTTGATCCTTAGATCATGTAGCGCTTAGTAAAAAGCATTTTGTGCTAATTAACCCAATCCACTATGCATGGAGAAATTGTTCTTGTTCAACACAATATTTAACAGGACTCATAATGTATTTTAATTAACACATTATAAAAAGTTATACACCATGTAGAAAACATGGAAATGCCTGGAATTTTTATGTGGCAAACTCTCCCTTACTTGAGTAAGTAGAGCTTAAATGCTGACAAATATGTATTTTTTCTACTTAAAAAATGATGCAGCCTGAGAAATGTGGTTTCTAAGACAATTCTGAAGATATTCAATAGGCTGGAAGTGGCTCAGAGTCTTAATGTTGAAGGGCAGGCAGGAGAGACTGCCTTGTCAATCACCATGGGAGGCTGACCCATGAAGTTATTTCAGCCTTTCTGGTTGTACTTTAGTTACAACAAAGTCTTCCTGAATCCTATTATTGTAATGAGCAATAAATAAGACAAAGTTCCAGTGTTTATAGAATAAGAATAGGTTAGTTTGATTGTTGTAGGTTAAAAGATTTCAAGAGTTTGCTGATTTCTGGGAAACTTTAAAGGACATTTATGTATTATAGAACATATTTGCTTTTTGGCAAATCTTCAGAAGAGTTTTATGATGAAATAGAATGTGCATCTCTGTTAAAACATTCAAATCCCTAGTCACTGTAAACGAATAAAAGATGAAATGACTGGGAAAAAAAATTTGTAATACATGATCAAGGGTCAACATCTTAAATTTAAAAAAGCCACAAGCTGATTGTAATAAGGAACACTTCAATATAAAGTGGGCAAAAGGCAAATGAGAGGGCGGTTCAGAGATGAGAAAACCCAGACGTGAAAATCTTCTTAATGTAGTCAAGAAGATGAAAGCAATAATGAGATGTATTAACCCAACTGAAAAGGGAGTTATTCAGTTCTGGGTGGCTGCAGGGAAATGGCACCCCCCCCCCCTCCCGCTGGTGAGAGTGACTTACTGCCATCCTTAGATAGTAATTGGACAATGTCTATTAAGACAGGTAGTTTGACCTAGTCCTGTAGCTTTGGGGGCATCTACCCTAAGGAAATGGAAGCAGTAGTGTATAGGAGATGTGTACTAAGATGTTAAGGGAGCATTGCTTAAGATGTGAAAAAAAAAAAAAGGAAACAATGAAAACAATACAGGAATGGTTTAATAAATCATGGCCCCTCCATCTGTGGAATATTATAGCTACTGAGAAGAAGGCTTAAGGGATGTCCATGAAGTATTTATTAGAGAAAAGCAAATCCAAACGAATCTATTAGCAGACTGTTTTCATTTTACCGCTCACGCTAGAGGGTATGTTTTTGTATGTTTGAAAAGGGGAAGAGAAGGACACAAACCAGGGCAGTTCACATTGGGTATTTATTTCAGGGGTGGGCAGAGGAGGGATTATGAAATATTTCTTTATATATCTTTGGATATTTCCCCTCTTATCATTATCACTGTATTTAATTAAAAAAAAAAACATTCTTAGAGGCCATTCAAGCCATAATCTAAAGAAATGTCCAGACAGGAAAAGAATTAAATGGACAGCCTCTTAGAAACCTCCATGTCTGGAAGAAGTTAAATTTCATTGCATTATCTCAGACTTACAGAGAAGTCTGGTCATATATGGCTATTTCAGTTCATGTCCCCATTTAAAAATATTGCTCATGGGTTTGCTGAGAAGGTGCAGAATGGTTAATGGCAGGAATTATCAAAACAGCCCACTCACCGGGCTGGGACCCCCACAAAAATTGCTGCTGCAGCCTTCTGTGACTTAGAAGTCATTTGTGTCCCCTAGTACTGCTGCTGCTAAATCCTTAAGTCACAAAGAACACTGCCTTCTCTGAGTCAGGTGCATTGTTTAACAAGTAAGGATTCTAACGTTCACTTCTATCCAAAGGGTTCTGTGCTTAAATTGGATTTGAAATAATATATGATCTTAAATCTGTCCGTATTCTTCATGGCCTGGTTTCAGGAGAGCGGAGAGAAACAAATGCCTGTTTGATTATCTAGGTCAGTGACTTCCTCATTTTTTGCCATGGCCTAAAGAAGAAGTACTTTTCACCTGGTCATTTGGGATACATGAAAGTTTTACCAAAAAATACTTTAATATGCCCTAACATATTTTCTGTACTCTTTTTTTTTTTTTAATAAGAAAATGCTGGTTGTGATCCCTGCACCAATTCCAGGACTCACTAATGTGAGTCATGGTCTGCAGTTTGAAAGCCTTTGCTTTAGGTCATGCAAGTGACCTCACATCATGAAGGCAAAGGAAATCAGTGGAGCGTTATGGTTGGGCTTTTGCTCCTTTCTAGCAAGATTTGAGAAAATGTATTTTGTGTGTTTTTCTGTCTACCTTGACTCCTTCCCTTCCCTTAACTCGGCCCTCTCCATAGATCTGTCCCATACAGTTCCAAGGCAAATTGTTCCCTGGTATGTGTGCATGATAGCTGGGGCGTGGCAGAGCAACGACTGAAGACATTTCTCTCTGACAAGATTTGGCAATAGGATTCTATGCCCCAGGATACTCGGGCACTCTGGTTTCTCTTGTGTAACTATCCCTAGGGAGCTATAGAAAACTGCAACAGAGCTTTTTATGGAAATTCCCTGGACACTGGGAATCCACCTCTCCACCCACAGGGCAAACCAGTGAGATCCAAATAAGTAATGAGGAATGTCGGCAGCTTGTGCAGTAGAGGCAAAGGAACACATTGGGGCTGCGTTTCTTCTCTTAATACCCTCCTTTTAAAAACAGATTTTTTTTTAATTGAGGTTAAATTTCATTGCTTCCTAAAACAGGAGTTTCAGCTGTAAAGGGCAGTGTAGTACAGCTGGTGTTGACTACCCACTCCTCAGCCTCAGGCATTTTCTGTTATTTCTACTGGGACTCTACTCAAACCAGGTGCTTTCTCAGTGGCCACATTCTTGTGGCCACGTGGGGGTGCCAGAGGCTGGCAGGTGACCCGACCTGTTCAAACGCTTACAGAGGGATTTTTGCATTGCAGCAGGGCAAACCCTTTCTTTCCTCTGGGTTTTGTCCTGCCTGGCTGTGGTACCAGAGGTGGAACCCAGGGCCTCACACATGCTAGGGAAGCACTGAGCTAACACCCCCAGCCCACAATAGCGTTTTTCAATCTGGAGTGAAGTTTTTCCCCCAGGGTACATTTGGCAATGTTAGGAGATTTTTGTTTTTAAATATTTATTTTTTCGTTTTAGGTGGACAATATATTTTACTTATGTGGGCCTGAGAATTGAATCCAGTGCCTCACACATGCTAGGTGAGCGCGCTACCACTTGAACCACATCCCCAGCCCCAAAGGAGATATTTTTAATTGTCACTTGAGGACAGGGGGAGGGTGCTATTGATATTTAGTGGGTTCAGATCAGGGATGCTGCTAAACATCTTCCTAAGCACAGGCAGCCCCCACAACAAAGAATTATCTGTCCCCAAATTGCAATAGTGCTGAGGCTGATAAACCCTGGCTTACAAAGAACCCGGCTGACCTGGCGGAAGAACTCTCATTCTTTATTTTTCCATTTGGAAAGTCGTTTTAAAGCTTATTTGTTAAAATAATATCATGGTTTTCCACTTGCAAGTAGCATTCAGCAAAATTCAAACAGGAGAAAATCTTTCCTTTGATGTTCTTCCCTTGTTCTTTTTTAAATGCTCTGTTCTGGAATAGACTCTCCTGTCTCTAACAGGACCCTGGGGCCATGGCACCTGGAGGGATACATTGCACCTCACTCCTTCCACCCACTCCCATGTCCTTAACATTTACTCATCCTATTTTCCAGCACGTGGGAATCTGTTAAGAATAATGCAGGCTCACAAAGCTTCCTTTAACTTCTTAGCCAGACCCCCGACCTCCTCCTTATAGAATGTGAACAAGTTCTCTCAGCAGACAGGATCCAAAGGAGTCAAATGTTGGGGACTTCAGTCTTAAGTGAGGAGACTGATGCTTTGGCAAATAGTTGGGGGATCCACTTTTGGGCAGAAAGAGAGGAATTCACACTCTTAACCATTATGCTGCAGTCTCCCCTGCATGCAAACACACACATACACACAGACGGGGTGGGTCAAGGTGTTCAGTGTTGTTGTTTTTCTGGTTTCTCAGTGCTGCAGTCCGGCTGCAGCAAAATAACCGGGGGGTGACGAACAACTTGTGTACGTTGATACAGCAGGAGTAGGAGCCGTTTATTGCAGGACAGGAGCAGTATTTATACATTCCATACAGCTTATCTAATTAGCATAAACTAGATACATCAGTCAACCAATAAGGAATCTCCACACTTAATGGCTCGCTGGTGTTACTTCACAAACCACTCCCTCTGGCATTTTGCTAGGCGCCATCCAGACTTGTTTACAGACTCTAATATTTTCCAGGCGCCATCCTGACTTTTTTACAGACTCTAACATCTCAGGGTCCCTAGCAAAAGTAGGGCAGGGCCTGTTGTGGAGGTCAGTAAAATATTCGCTAGATCCAGGGGAGCTGTCTCAGGCTGCTGGGTTCTGCACTCTGAAGAAATAGCAGGGAATGGGCCTGTAGAGGATTTCACATGGCTATGGTCCCTGGGCAGTGTGAGATAAGCTTGTTACCCTAGGATCTTCCAGAAATCTGTGCCACTGACCTTGTTCCAGATGAGAACAGGGGTTGGGATTCCGATGACCTCACAGCTCAAGTACACCTGGGCACCAGTGACATTCCAGATGTCCTTGGGTGGCGTCACAATGGAAGGACCTACAAGAGAGGGCACAAAGCCAAACCAATTTTTAATAGCTCTGAACATTATTTGGCATCCTAGGAACTAAATACTTAATGTTTATGAAGCTGTCTCCTCTGAGGATATTTGAAATGAATTTCAAAGACTAGTCTGGCTTCTTCCTGACACCAGTCTGATTTGAGTCTCCACTTTGGGAATGCAGGAATCTTAACAAGCAAACCAACAAAAACAATTAGGAAGAAAAATCTGTTCTTTCCCAAACTGTGCTTAAATGAGTTTTAATTTACCAGCTGTTTTGCATTATCTGGGATTTTTCCATTAATTTGAGTTTCAAAAATTTAATGTTTTCTTTTGTTTGTTTATCAGTATTTCTATTTCGGGGAGGGGGATAAACAACCAACCGCCCTTTGGGTAGTCAAAGAAAAAAAAATCTAAGAGGTTTTTTCAAAGTATGCTGAACACCCAGCCCCTGACTCAAGAAGCTGAAGGTCTAAGATTGACAGGTACAAGGAAATCAGGTCAAGATGAAGAGAAAGTGGGGAGTGCTGGGTGCCCTGGGGGACTGGGAGGAGGGTCTTCATCAAGCAAGATGATAGAGGGTCTTTCTTCCAATACAATTTGTAAAGAACAGTGACTGCCTATTGTGACCAGAACCCCAAGGAGAGGGCTCATTCCCAGAGTTCTCAGTGTCCAGGTCTCTGGTAGGGGACACAGTGAGTGGGGTCATCTTGAAGGTATGGCTTGAATGGAGTCAGCACCTTCTGAAGGAGGCCAGAATGACACTTCCCTATGCCCTTAATTCTGGAAGCCAGCCCTCACTTCCATAGCTCTCCTCAGAGAGGCTTACTCAGGTCAACACCCACACTGTGCATCCTTTTACCACTGACTTGTCTCTCTGGTCACAGAGTTGGCAAAGTGTGGTCCCTAAGCCAAATCTGCCCACCACCCCCCTCAGCCCGGTATTGTATCTTTATAGTTTGTAAGTTAAGGTCCTTGCGCTTTTTAAATGGTTGGAAAAAAAATTAAAGGAAGGTTAATATTTCATGGCATGTAAAAATGGTTTTGGTGTCTGTAAAATAAAGTGTTACTGGACATATCCATGACCATTTGTGCCACCATGGCAGGGGTCAGCAGTTACATCTGAGACCTGGTGGCCTAAAATACCGGTGATCTAACCCTTCACTGAAGAAATTTACCGACTCTTGCTCTAATCAATTGAGGGGAGACGGATGCCTAAATAAGATATCATAGGAATGGCTCAGAACTTTAATCCTGTGGTATATATGCCCATATACACTGGCTGATTTCTGGTTCAGCCCTGACACACACACTTTTGGAGCAAACAGATGATATTGAAAGAGTGTGTGCTTACTACTGCTTCCTCCCCTGGAGGGGCCAGCTGCCCCAACATCTTGGGGGGGGGGAGAAACATGCACTTATCTTTAGTGGTAATTACTATTGCACTTATGTTAATTCTGAGCACCAGCATCCAGCCACGAGGGACCATCCAAGAGACTTGGAACGGTCCACAGGGGAGAGGACATAGACTCAGAAAGAGCCCCTTGTGGCCCCTCCTCTGTGCTCTACACTGTTTCTCGAATGAATGAGTTAATTATTCCTTCTAAATTTCTTATCTTGGCAGCCCCGGGGTCTTCTAGTCTAGTCAAATATCTAACTGCAAGGTCATCCCGCATCAGGGTCCTGGGAAAGGACAACCTCCCCTTCAGGGCTGGAAAGTTTTCTGGCATAATCAGCATTCAAAGGACATGAAGTCTCCCCTTTTGCAACAGGCTATTTCCAGCACATATTAATTTCTCGAAACAGAAAGGAAATGACCCCAGAAAGATTTTCCCACTCATCTAAAGTATTAGAAGTTTTTTTTTTTTTTCCTTAAAATCCCTCAGGATATTTTTCTTCTTTTTCCCCCTTTGTAAGAATGCGCAAAACAATCAAAGTTTGAAAGCTCTAAATATATTTTGTGCTTCCTTCCCTTCAAACCATAGGTCTGAATAGGAAGCATATATCTTGACGCGGGGTCTTGGCTCTTCTGTTGCAATGGTGGATTTGGGGGCATAGCTGTGCTCTATTTATGTATTTTTCTGGCTCAGTCTCAGATGTTTCCGAGTCTGAAGGCACAATACAGAACCAAGGGCTGGGCCACACCCTCTCCTGGGCTTCCTCCAGGGTCCTGGGATCCCCAAGGGCCTGGACACCACATAACCGGATCTGGCTGGACTTTGAACTACTTTCACCCACGTCTCTGAGGGCCCCCTGCTGCTCGGTCCTCCTTCCCACACACACTTGGCAGCCTGACCTCAAAGCTCAGGGGATCTCCAGGGATTGTTCTGGGAAGAATACACCAGTGTTCAGAGATTTGGAGGGGCTCAGGAACAAAGCTTCCTCTCACATCTCAAAACCACACAAGGAATGCAAGGCGGTTTTGCTGTGAGGTTTTGCTTCACCTTGCAAAGTCCCACTTGTTTTAACCTGTGTTGGTCTCCCTAGTGGCAGCAGAGCTCTCAGTCTTGGTCAGGGGCAGCCTCTAGGGTGCACAGGGAAGAGCGCCAGCCTGGAACGCTGTCAGAGACCTTGAACACAGGCCACGGATTTTCTCATGAAAAAAAAAATTTTTTTTTTGGTACTAGGGATTGAATTCAGGGGCACTCAACCACTGAGCCATATCCCTAGCCCTATTTTGTATTTTATTTAGAGACATGTCTCACTGAATTGCTTAGCACCTCGATTTTGCTGAAGTTGGCTTTGAACTTGTGATCCTCCTGCCTCAGCCTCCCAAGCCCCTGGGATTACAGGCGTGAACCACTATGCCTAGCTCCATGGAATAATTTTTAAGTGAATGTTCTTCATTTTAATACAGATCACGTTATCACGTTTTTTCCCTCTTGGTTTGTGCTTTTTGTATCCCGTTTAAAAACCTTGCCTAGTCCTATTTTCTTCTACAAAACCTTGCACATAAGTTCTTTTCTACATTTAGGTTTTTGGTTCCTCTTGAATTAATTTCTATGAGGTAGGCATTTAATTGCTTCAGCACCATTTATTTAAAAACCATCCTTTTCCTGATGAATTGCTAATGCCTTTGTGGTAAATCCATTGACCATATGTGTGTGGGTCTGTTTCTGCACTCTATTCTGTTCCATTGGTCTGTGCATCTCTTCTTGCACCAGCAACCATAGTATAATGTAAGAATTAATTATGCTAAAATTGAAGCACTAAAGAGAGAGCAGACCTATTATTTCTATCTCTCTCCAACCCTCCTATTATGTCAAGAATCAGAACATTCAAGGGAAGCAAGAATTTTTTTAAAAAAACATTTGAACCCAGGAATACTTTGAATAAGAGCCATTCCAGGGGGTTCAAGATCAGGACAAACCAGATTGTGAGGTCCCTTTTTTCTCTCCCAACCCTTGGAATCATATAAAATTTAGGTAAATGGGCTTAAGTCAACAGTTAGACTATTCTAAAAACATAAAGTAACTTGTCCATCTTACTACCAGGTTAGGTCTAGAATTCTGCCAGAGTCCTATACCATAAAAAATCAGCATTATTTTCTATCTCCTGTGGGGTGATGGTAGAAGGGCAGAGGAGGGAATGTTGGCTATTTCAAATATTCTTGAACAAAGGTTGGGCTCCATAGCACAGTGAGAAGTTTCTAAACTGAACAATTTCTAAACTGAAAAGTGCTGAACTATAAAATGGCCTTTAGGTTTTGATACGTACCCTCTTGCAAAGGGAGGTCATATCAATGGATGATCAGGCAAATACTGGAGTGATCAATAGACCTCACAGAGTCGGTAGAGGCGGGTTGATCTCAACTTGACTGTGTGACAGGGATCTGCAGCAGCCTGGCACTCACTTTGTTCTGAGCTGATACTTGGCATCTCCCTCCTGGGTTCTCCCTGTCTCTCTGCTGCCCACCTGGTCTGGAAATTCCCTGGGCATGAGTGGAGGGAATGGGGGGGGACTCTTGATAAAAGCAGAACACGGCAGCATTACAGAGAGCTGAGTGATGTATGCCTCGGGGAGGGAGGGAGAGGCTTCATGGTGACCCACAGGAACTCCAAGAGGACAAGTCATGTGTGGAAGAAGGTAAGAGTGCCATCGGCTGCTATGAAGCCACCACAGTGCTGCACCTCGACTCCAAAGCCCATCACCATGAATCCCACTGGAAAGCAACTTTACTGCTAACCATTCTCTTGAACTGCCTGTCGGTCCCACAGTACAATTCCGGAAGGTTCTGTTTTACTTAAGGGGAGCACTCAGCTCTATAACTCTTTAACGAACAACCAAACAACTTCTCACCCTTTCTACTCTTTTTATTTCTTTCTTTTTTTAAAATTTAGGATTGGGGACTGAACTGGGGGGGTGGGATTTGGTTGCTTTACTTCATATCATGGGGGATGCTTAACCACAGAGCCACATCCCAGACCTTTTAAAAAATATATATTTAGCTGGGTACAATGGCGCACACCTGTAATCCCAGCAGCCAGGAGGCTGAGGCAGGAGGATCATAAGTTCAAAGCCAGCCCCAGCAAATGTGAGGCATTAAGCAACTCAGTGAGAGCCTGTCTTTCAAGATGGCTGCAATAGATCCAGAATTTATTTCTGTTTTTAAAGATAAAGACATTTTTAATTCACTCTGAGCTGATTTTCTCACACAAAACTTCAAAATTGATTATTGAATTGAGGCCAGACCAAGAGTTATGACACTGCCATCTAAATCAGGCTCACTGTTTGGATTCCAATTAAAACAAGTCACGGGATTTTTTAAATGTATAGGGACAGACACAAAGTTAGGTCCAATTATTTATTTATTCTTGCCTTTTTCCATTAAGGACTTTAGTCTGCTCAAACATCTGTCTAGAAAACATCCTGTCCGTAGAATTCTGTCCACTGTCCCTCTCTGTCGCCTACTCACCCAGACATCTGCAGAAAGCAACCACACTGCCCATAGTGCTGGCTGGTGCAAGGAACATCTGCCCTAGGTTTCCCCACGTCAAAC